AAGGCGCCAGCAGATGACTTCTTCTCGGGGGTGATCGGCGTGATGAACGATCTCGACAGATATAAGGGCCACCGTCCATGCGAGATGACGCCGGGGAGAACGCCAGAAACTATGGTGGGGAACGTGCGTGGTGAAGATCACGACCTGTCCATCTTCGCCAAGAAGCGCGCTGCGAAGGCCAAGGGCAGCGTCGAGACCCCTCGTGGAATCGGGGCAGGGCCAGCCGCAATCATCGCTGATTAGCTTGGTGCTGATGGACAGCCTGGGTCCGCGGTCTGGATGGAGCACCGTGGCCGGCTCCTACGAGCGGGGCGTGGATGCCTCCGGCCAGTTGCCGAGGTGGAGGTAGACGTGCGCCGGCTACTTCGCGGAGAACCAGCACCTCTGGATATCCGTAACGGCTTCGCCCCCTGCCCCCGGCCCCCTCTCTCGGATAATGGGCTATGCAAGAGCTAGATCATCGGGCCTCGGCGCCGCCGTGAAGCGGCGTCGGGGTTCGCGCGAAGACGATGAGTAATCGGCAAGACAAATTTAAATTCTGATGTTGTTGGACTCGCGTATGCTATGCGAAATGGCTTTTCTACAAAGTATTGACATGTTGCAAATCCAATGTTTTTTTTGATCCTGGTCCAACCGGGGTGCCTCCTTATCTTAAAGATGTGGCAGATCTTCTTGTGTTTTCGGGCCCTGACCCCGCCGATCTGCGTGAGGGGTGCCACCGAATTTCAGACATGTAGCACATTCCTTGTTTTTTTTCGTCCCTGGCCCTGCCGATCTGTGCACGGGGTGCCGCCAAATGTCAGAAACAGTGCAAATCCCATGTATTCTTGGCCCCTGACCCCGCAGATTTGCGTGAGGGGTACCTCCGAATTTCAAACACGTAGCACATCCTTTGTATTTGTTTGACCGTGGCCCCGCCGACCTGCGCGAGGGGCGCCGCTGAATATCAGAAATGTGGCAAATCTTTAATGTTTTCGGACCCTGTCCCCGCCGATCAGCGCGACGGGTGCCGCCGAGTCCTGAAAATGAACCAAATCCATTGTGTTTTTGGACCCTGGCCCCGCCGATCTGCGCAAGGTGTGCCGCAGAATTTTAGAAATGTAGCAAATTCCTTCTGTTTTTGGACCTTGGCCCCGCCGGTCTGCGCGGGGGGTGTCAATTTCGACCCTCCTCGGCAATTCTGGGCGCGCGATCTGGGCGTTGTGAAAATGGCGGTTTGCGCACCCCCCCCCGCCTCCCTCGCGCGGTCTATTACAAGGAACAGCGAGAAGTAATAAGCACAAGTAAAATAATGGAAACTGGAAACTGGAACTGGCGCAGGGCACGGCTTACCTTGGCCCTGCAGCCTGGTGGCCCCACAAGTGGGCCGGCGGATCACCGCGGCGGACAGCGTCTGCCAGACTTAGGCGACTAGGGCGCCGCGTGGGTGGAGGGGCCAGGAGATCATTTTACCACGCGTGCCGGACTGTGGGCAGCCTGTTGCCGCTGAACCTCAGGCGCCGCCCGAAGACGCGCAGCCGAGGTCAAACATGGCCGAGGAGGAGGAGGAAGAGGAGGGCGACAAGCCGGAGACTGCTAAGGGCGAGGACGACGAGATATCTTCACTCGACGTGGAGTCTTCAGATCCACCGCGCGAGGGGCTAGCGCGGCAAGCGCGACAGCGGGGGCGTGCAGACGGGGGGTCGTTGCGACCGGGAAGTCGCGCCAAGATGCCAGTTCCGGATTCGGGCGGGAAATGTGGTGCAGCGAGTTTCGCGACCGAGTCCAGGGCACGTCCGTCGCGCTCCATCGGGGAGACCGACGAGGGCCGGGGCGTGGCCGCCGAGAGAGACAGGAGGCAGTCTACGCGTCCATCGCAGTTCCCTCCACGGAAGCCTTCGACCGCTGCGTGAAGGGCCCCCGCCTGCGCGCCTCCACGCAAGCGAGGCGGCGACGCGTCGAGGTGAGCTACGTGTTGCTGGGCGACCTGGATAAGGCCAATTTCGACGTGGCCACGAAGATAGGGGTTGACCAGATCTTGCTCGCTCAGGTGAGTCGCGGCGTTCTGAAGAGCAAGCTGCCGGACGTCGACCTGGCGAAGATGCGGCGGGTTTTCCCGTGGGCGAAGGGCCCGGAAGCGGAGGGAGGGAACAAAAAGGCCATGGCAAGGCTGGCGCTCGTCGGCTACGCCGACGAGGACCTCGAGACGCCCAGGGCGGAGCCGCCGACGCCGTAGAGTCGTGCGCGGACGATGCTGAACCAAATGGCGGCTCGCAGCGGTTGGCGGACGTGGCTTGCAGATGCTCATCCAGCCTTCCCGCGAGGAGAAGCTACTGGAGAGGGGCGAGAGCCATGCTGATTACCAGTGCCACAATTCAGAGAACATTCAACCTGAACGACGATGATGTGGTTCAGATCTTCGGGGCGCGCTGCGGCTGGACCGATGCGCCAAGGCGATGATATGACATATGCGTCAACAAGGATCTTGGGCACAGGGTCTAGTTTTCATGCAGCCTCGAGCCATGTCTTTGCACGAAGTTCGTTCGAAACGCGAGGTAATCGGGCTTGTCTTAGCGCGCGTGGACGACGTCCAGATCAACGGGGGTTGCAACAACAACAACAACGACGAGTTCAAGTTCCGTTGCGAGCATCTCGAGGCGCTGCATAGATGGGGCACGTGGGAATCAGATGACGAGGGATACTCAGCATGTGGCGCGGAAGTCCCAAGAGCAGAGGACAATGGTTTCAGACGCAGTCAGGAGCAGTACCCGAAAACCGTCCAGCCGATCAACAACGCGCTGACGGCGGAGGAGACCACTGCGTGCAAGGCCACATTCGGCCCATCACAACGGTTCTCGTCTCAGACTATGCTACAGAAAATGCGATTGGTGGAGGTTCGCGTCTCGACGCTGCAAGCGGCTGCGAACCGCGCGGCAGTCAAGGACATGGGCAGGATCAGCTAGCTCGTGAAGTCCTTCCATGAGTTTGCGAGTGCAGGTTTTACAGCGCATCCCTACAAACATATGGCGAGGGCGTGCTGGCGCGACGCTTCGTGGCGTTCGCGGGCAGACGTCAGTCGTCAAGGAAGCACTGTGGTATGCGCAACGGAGAAGGAGGCTCCTGCTGCAAGATGCAGAATTTCGCGGTGTTCACTGGAGCGTCGAAGAAGTTGACGGGAAAACGCAAGTCATTCGTGTGTCCCGAGATCCAGGCGGCCAGCGAGGCCGCAGAGGAGCTGGAGTACATTCAGCTCGTCAGTGTGGAGATGCTGAGCGCGGACGTCCAGCTGAATGGCGACAGGCGCTACGATCTCATCAGGAGCGGACCCCAGATCGTGTTGGCCACCGACAGCAAAAGCCTCTACGATGCAGTCACAGGATCAGAGGGCTCTGCGCTGTGTCTCAGCGACGTGCGCGTGGCCATGCAACGCATGGAGCTGAAGCAGGGAATTCCAGAATGCGGCGCTGGATTTCGCTGGGCTCATTCGCGCGCGCAGGTAGCCAGTGGCTCCGCGAAGTTCAAGTGCGAGGGACAGAAGCGACGGGATGTCTGCATGTGCAGGAGCTATTGGAGGCTGGCTCGCGACCCGGAGTTCGAGTCATCTCGGAAGAGCTGCCTAAGAGGTCTCGACATACTGGGGGTCAAGCCATAGCAGTTGCAAGCATGAGTTGCACGTGATTGAGGCAACCTTGCTCTTTCAGTATTTTTTCATATCGCTCGCTTCGCGAGGTCTGTTTTGTTTCACTGTCGTTCCAGCTGTGGTGCGAGGGTCTTCCTGGTGTTGTATCTCTCATATATACATGTAACGGGGGACCAGGTCCGGGGACCGGGAGCCGGGACCACCACCGCAAATTTGGGCCCGGGGCCCGGGCCCGCCTCTGGGAGGCTTAAAATCGCCCCGGGGAACCGTCAGACAGCAATCTCGGCGGCCCCAGCCAGTCTCGAGACACCCCTGAGACGCCGTCCAGGGGTCTCCGGCGACGAACGATGTGTTTTAATTTGCCCCGGAGGCCCCCAAGACGCCCCAAGAGGCCTTTAAGATGCCGCCCGAGAGCTCCCCGAGAGGGCCACATCGTTTTTTTTTTTTTTTTTTTTTTTTTTTGCGTTCTCGCTGTTTCGTGTTTCCGGCGTTAGAGCACCCCCCAAGACCCTCCCCAAACCGCTCCAAGACGGCCCAAGAGGCCCCCGAGAGGGCCCCAAGACGGCCCGAGAGAGCCCCGAGACGGCCCCAGAGCCGCCCAAGACGGTGCAAGAGGGTCCCAAGAAGGCCCCAAGAGGGGCCCGAGAGAGGGGACGCGAACTGAAAAATCAAGCCCTCCGCCCCAAGTTGCCCCCAAGAGGCTTCAAGATGCCCCCAGGAAGCCCCCGAGAGTCCCCAAGAGGCCCCCAAGAGCCCCCAAGAAACCTACAAGAGGCTCCAAGAGGTCCCAAGACGGCACCCAAAAAGCCTCGAAACTATTTCTAAGAGGCCCCGAAGACATACCGAGAAGGTCCCATGACGACTTCAAGAAGCAGTCCAGGATGCTCGGAGGAGGCCCAAAGAAGGTAGCTAGAACTTGAGCGCGTGCGAAGCGCGCGCGATGGTTCTAGTTATGTATCTCGCTTGTGCGAGAGTGGCTGACTTAATGTAGTTAGTGTGGTCGGTCTGCGGCCAAAAGCTTTTCGCCCTGTGTTAATCTTATTGTCTGTTGGCCGACCGATCCATGCTGGACCTTGGGACTGGGTGCATAATCTGCTTCACCGCTGCCATTGCGGACCAGGGCGCCCTTGAGCCGTTCGCAAACTACCAGGACGAACGCGTAGCGCATCAGCGCTCCGCAGAACGATACAGGACGAGGCCCACCAGGGGTCACCGATATCAAGATATCTGATCGCGATAGCTGGCGAGGAAAAGGTGGTTATCAAGCGAATCGTGACAGTATCTCGCCTTCATCTTCGACGAGGGTTTCGCCAACGCCGACGATTTAGCCCTCTCGCCTTCTGTAATTACCGTGGCCAGAAATATGAAAAACAATCTCCAGGGCGCCCTCGGCGTGGCGGAGGAGGCCGGGGGCGAGTCCTGCCGCGCCGAGGGGTGGGTCTCCATTTCGGAAGAGGGTCACTCCCCAGACCCCCTCGCGTCGTGGCATAACCTACGGCGGCCTCCGGGGGCCCTCGGTCGAGACCTCTGGGGGTCGACGCTGTGAAACACTTGCGACGCCGGGGGCCTGGGTTGTGAGCGACGGCGGCGGCTCTCCCGCCCAGCCCCGGTGCGCTCAAGATCGCTCCCCGGATCTCTTCCCGGGGTCCACTTGGTGCAGTGTTTTCGGCGACTGCAGAGGGTGCGGTTACGCCAGGGTGTAGTTTGTGATCGGCGCCGTGGGGGCCTGGAGGGCACGACACTGTCCTCGTCGGGCCTCCTCGGGGCGCGGCGGAGAAACATCGAGGCACCCGCCCGCCCCCCATGGTGCCCCCCAGGGTGCCGATTGCAAACCACACCCTTTGCAGACCGCACCCTTTGGAGTCGCCGATGTTTGGCCTGGATCCGTTTCTGACGGTCCCGGGGCCCGACAATGGCCCCCGGTGGCCGAGAAGCGCAAAAACCGTGCGAAACCCCGAAGTCCTCGGACCCGTCGCCGTTTCCCGAGGCGGGTGCGCAGCTGCGGCGGCGAGAGGCCCCGGGGGAGGCACCGCAGAGGACGAGCGAGGGGGTGGCCGCAGTCGTCTCTCGAGCGGGGCCCTGCTCCGACGCATCGCCGTCGCCGCGCAGTTGCCCTCCGTGGCGGGCATTTCCGTGCCGGAGGATTGAGATGAAAAAACAATGGCATATGCCTCGGGACGATCGAAATGGATACGGACAAATGGTGCAACATCCACTAGCAGTTCTTGTTCATTCTGAAAAGGGTTCGCTGTCGGCGTCGACGCGGACGTTGTCCATTTGAGACAGAACGCCGCCTGCCCAACAGCGGCCACCGTTGGTTTTGGACAACATTTGTTTCTGGGCGTTGTGCATTTTTTTTCGTACCCATTTCGGGCGTCCGAAAAAAGGCAGAACTCTTCGGCGCGTGGCTTGTTCAGGGCTCGCCAAGGAACGAGTCCTGCGGGAGGCGGGCATGGGGTTTCTTCGCCGTGTTCGGCTCCCTGGGGCCCTTCACGGGCCCCGGGATTAAAACACAGCTCAGGATGAAGAGCCCTCGGGGCAGGCCTTCGGGTCTAAGACCCGTCTTCTTCAGGACCTAACTCTTTCATGCGGACCGATCCCAATCCCGTGGTAGGAGGGGCAGAGTGTTTGCAGGGTTGTGCGCTCAGCGTGTGCAAAGCGAACGTCCGTTTACCCAAGGCAGAAGCTGAACTTCAGGTTTTGCCTTGGGTACACGGACGCTCGCTTCAGGTCCTGAAGCACGCTGGTTGATCTTACGCGCTGAGAGTAACACAGTATAGCATGTACACCAAATCGCTGGCGGTATGCGCTATGCGTCGCACCCTGACCGTAAACATAAGCTTTCGGAGGTCCGTAAGAATTTCTTGGATGGGTACTGGACCCCACCCCCTCCCCGCGGAGCGCTCCAGAGGAGGCGGCGCCAGAGGCTCGGCTGGTGAGGGCTAGCGCAGATTCGAACATCTGCCTCGAGCTCCGACAGTATCTGAGATCCGACGTTTTGGCATGACCCTGCAAGGAACTCACCCCAATCGCATCAAGTGACAAGAGGAGCTGTCCAACATTCGTCTGGATTATGTCAACAACAAAGGGAAGGTTATTTGTAGTGCAAGCTACATGGGATGCGCGCGCGTTGCGTGACTCACAGGACATCAGTTGAAGGATTAGGAGTGATGCCCCAAGGTCGAAGGGGTAGGGGGCGGAAGCGATGAGCAGGAGAAGGTCGGAAAGGGTGCCCAAAAGTCAGCGCAGCATCAGCAGGGAGACGGTGGAATGGGGAAGAGGTCGACAACGAAAGAGGCGGGATGCAAATGGAGGGTGACGTTCGTTTTCCCAGTGGCACGCTGATAGAGCAGCGCAGCCCGTGTCAAATCGTCTGGCGCCCCGAAGGATGGAATTGTTCATGCTTCGTGGCTAGTGCAGGAAGCCAGCGAGACCGAGCTCGCCCGCCAGCCTCTCCGCCTCCTCACCGCACCTCTGAGCGCGGGAGGTGCACGCCCACAGGCGCGCCGCCGGGTCTGCGGGCGACCGGCGGGAAAGGATATCGAGCCCAGGGTCGCGCTCAGCGGCCCGCGAGAGGTGCGACGGCTTCACATTTCGCAGCCCCCCAGAGATGGCGAAGTCGAGTCTGTCTCCGCGCAGGCCCCAACCAGGGTGGCCCCCCCAGCAGCCCTCGAAACTGACGATTGTTTCACAAGTCGCCGCCCCCAAGGGATGGCGAGTTCTGTTTTGAACCCACGCAGCCCTCGACCACGTTGTCCCCCCAACATACGTAGAACTTGGCGAGAGTTTCCCATTTCGCACCTCCCAGGGATGGCGAGCTCTAGTCTGAGTTTGCGCAGTCCCCGACCATGCTGGCCCCCCCAGCAGTTTTCAAAATTGGCGACCGCGTCAAATTTCGCTCCCCCCCCGGGGTGGCGAGCTCTAATCTGAGTCCGCGTAGCCCCCGACCACGTTTGCCCTTACAGCAGTCTTTGGACATGGTGAAAGCTTCACAGTTCGCGACACCCCAGGGATAGCGAGGTCGGATGCAAGAGGGAGGAGAGGAGAGGAAATAAGGCAGGATGCATGTTGGAGGCATGCTGAGGGATGCGTAAAGGTGGAGACGCGACCCCAGTGGGTGTGTATATATATATATATATGGACGTATAGACATAACCCATTGCAGCATCGCGACAAGTCGCGATCCGAGCCCTAGAAACCGTCTCCGTGCTGCAGTTGTCGAGCGAGATCGATCGTGGCCCTCAGGCCCGAAACTGGGCGACCCCCTCTGGTATGGAGAAAATGGCAGCGCCAGGGAGGAGGGCGCCCTGGAGGAGGGAGGATGGAGGAGGAGGAGGAAGGAGGAGGAGGAGGAGGAGGAGGAGAGGAGGAGGAGGAGGAGGAGGGGAGGAGGAGGAGGAGGAGGAGGAGGAGGAGGAGAGGAGGGGAGAGGAGGAGGAGGGAGGGGAGGAGGAGGAGGAGGAGGAGGAGGAGGAGGAGGAGGAGGAGGAGGAGGGAGGAGGAGGTGGAGGAGGAGGAGGAGGAGGAGCTGCGAGGAGGTGGGGCTCCGGCAGCGAGCTGCGGGTGCCTGCTCCCCGCGCTATCGCGCGCAGGTCTGGGTCTCACGCTCCTCTCACGCCTCCTCCTCCTCCTCCCTCCCCTCTCCTCCTCTCCTCCTCCTCCTCCTCCTCCTCCTCCCTCCCCTCCTCATCCCTCCTCTCCTCCCTCCTCCTCCTCTCCTCCTCCTCCCCCTCTCCTCCCCTCCTCCTCCTCCTCCTCCTCCTCCCTCTCCTCCTCCTCCTCCTCCTCCCTCCCCTCCTCCCTCCTCCCTCCTCCCTCCTCCCTCCTCCCTCCTCCCTCCTTCTCCTCCACCTCCTCCTCCTCCTCCTCATCCCTCTCCTCTCCCTCCTCGGGGTATATGCCGCTTTCTTTGTCCTCCCAGGACGTCCTCCGCCCGGCCGCCAGGGAGGTCCTGGGCACCTCCGAAGCACGGTTAGACTGACTATATGTGCGCGTCGGCCCCGCGAGGGCGACGCGCGCGCGCGCGCCCATAAATATTTGATCCTGTAAGCACCGTTGCGGGCGCTTCCTGGTCACGCCGCTCGGGGAACGAGCTGCTATACGGTGGGGGCGTTCGTTAAGGAATGTGCCCAGGAGGCTGTAGACCCTGGGGGACTCCTCCAATGAGGGCGGCGGTGATACCCATGGCCGCTCCACGATGGGAGTTCCACGGGCTTCCAGACCCTGGGTTCCTTATCTGAGGGTTTCTTGTCCCATGCCCCCCCCCCCCCCCCCACCGTATTTGTGTAGTATCTGTTCGTGGTGGACGTGCGCCTCCGGCGTCAGCACATGGAGCTGGTGGGCGCTTCTGCGTCCCAAGGTGTGCCGGCAGACGGTGGGCTTCGCGAGCCGCCGGCTCGCGGACAGCCTGTCGGAGGACTTCGCCCGGTGGCGGGGCGAGCGGATCCGGGCCCGCAGGCTCGGCGCCCAGGCGCCCTGAGCGCGCCGCGGCGGCCTGCGCACTGAGCAAGCAATCCGCCGCCAGCTCCGGGGTTCCATGATGCCCACCATGCCTCCCAGGTGGGGTCCGATCGGCGTCGAAATCCGCACTTCACCTTTGCTTATCGACGATTCAGAGAGCTCGATTGGCAGCGGGGTTAGGGCTCGGAATCTGTCGAACACGTGGCGACATCCGAACCCTACCCCCACCTCCCGTCGATTCGACAGAATCGATGGTTGAGTCGGGTAGGGCTTGGTTGTTGCCACCTATTCGATCAGACGGGGTCGGAGGATCGCGCCGCATCGCCTATATGCATTACCGATGTGTCTCGATGTGGAACCCGGTTTGTTCCACGCCGACGGCGCCGATGCATCGCCGATGCAGTTGTGATGCATCGGCGATGCGGTGCGATCTTTCCGACCCGAGCTACTCGGACCCCATCTAGGAGGCGTGCCTTCCCCCGAAGAAGCAAAACGGGCAAAACAACATAAACTTTCAGAGCTCCGCGCGGATTCTTTGAATCCGCGCTGGGCCCCCTTCTTGGCGGTGTCTGTGGCGCCGAACCTGGCGCGCTCCGCGCGCCCGGGCACGGGGGACGGTCCCAGTGCCGACCCAGGACATGCGCGCGGACCTCCGAAAGTTTCTGTCTGCGCCGGCTGCCGTTCCTCCACGCCCGCTGCCGCTGGCGGCCCCGCCGTCGCGCCACCCGCGCGGGGCCCAGACCTCGGGTAACCTGGATGTCTGCGGCACGGTCAGGCCGAGGCATGAGATCGAGGTCGTTTCGGGGAGGGTGCCCTGATGTTCTTCGTGCTTGTTGGGCGTGCTTGCGCATCCCGGGGGAGGGCACCCTCGAGTGATCTTCTGGTCTGGGGTGTTTTGGCCGGCGGAGGGTCTCATGTTCTTGAGGGATGTTCTCCCCCCAGGCGCCGGCAGCGACGAACAGCCTCCCTGCTGATTTTTTGTCAGTGCGTTGGAGGTTTGGGGTTAAGTCGGGCCTGCTCCTCTGCAGGAGGAATATTCGAAAATGGTCAAAACGCAGTCTGGGGGCCTTCTTGTTTGTTTCGTTTTTTGTTTTAAAAAAACTATGTTTGGGCATGCTTGGAGTATTTTTGGAGTACTTTTTATGTTTCGTCCAAAATGCGTCTGTAGGGGGGCAGGCCCGACTTGAGTCCGGGGGGGGGGGGTCGCCTGTGGGGAGCGCGCCCAGGCACATCCTGGCGGTGTCTGCACGGTCCGAGGACTCTCCAGCTGTCCCGCGGCCTTCCTCGGAAATTGGAACAGATACATTGCCAGTGGCGGGCTGCGTTTCAATCCCAGGACTTGAGGGTCGAGGGCGACGCTGGGGTGGTGTGGTGTATACTTTTTCCCCCGATGTCCTGGGGAAGCAACGAAAAATGTATACACCAGGGTCCCGTATACACCAGGATCCCCTCTCCAGTGCAAATTCCAATGCAGGGCCGGAAGAGGCGTCGGTGTATAGAGTTCGATTCCCTACTTCCTTCTCCTCGCCCCTCGCCCGCCTGCGCCCCTGTGCCTCAATCCGATCGCGTGGCTCCAAGAGGGCCCCCAGGGGAAAGGACTTCCGAGACGGGCGATGCCGATGTCTCAAGTACGCTCGGCTTCGCGCGCATGGTCGCCGCATGGCGTTTTCGCTCGCACTCCGACGTCTCAAATGCAACGCCGCGGTGTCAGGAGCCTCCTTTGCTCAGAGCGTGAATTACCTACCCCGCTTTCGCTTCCAGGCAAAACCAAGCCATACCACGCGCCTCCTCGCCAAGCGGCCTGACCAGTACAGGCTGCACTTTGGCGTCGTTTGGTATCTCTTGGAAGCGAGGGGGGTCAAAAGCGAGGTAGGTTTGTTTTCCCCCTGTTTGCTGGTGCCCCTGTCCCGCCGTCTGCTCGGCCGCGCGCCGGACCCAACCCGCCGCAGACCAAAACAGCGGGAGCGCGGCCGCCGCTCTCAGGGCCGAGGAGGCCCCAGCGACCGCGCAGAGGTCATCTCTTGGGCGTCGTGGGCCCACGTGGCCGAGATAATTCTATGGAGCCACCCCGACCCCGATCATCGGCGTTTGCTAAACGTCCCTGGGCGATCACTGAACAGCCCTGTCCTGTTCGAATTCCTTCCTTGGGTCTGTTTACTATGCGGCTTCGCCTGGCGGTGTGCTTATGATGATCTGCACTCTCATGAAGGGCCAATTTGGCTCGAATATTGCCCAAATCGCGGGGGCGGGGCCAGGTTCTGATCCGGGACCTCCCTCCCACCAGCCCCCCCCCCTTCCAGGCGGTTGCTCCCTGGCTCGATTCACCTCGAGATGGCGAGCTTGGGGGACCGAAGGTGTCCGCGGGGAAGCGAGCAAAACCTTCGACTATCAAATAGCGTCTCCCAGGACTACCCGGGGACGACTGGCCCAGAAATGCCCCTCACATGCCGAGAGGGTCGGCGGATTTGCCCGTCGAAAGTTTCACATTTTCGGGAATCGAGGTCGCCTTATCCCCCTATAGCCAGATCTCATTTTGAGCTGTGGGCAATCTACATCATCCCTTGGCGGCACAGCGCACAGCGCTAGGTGCCAGATTGCCCTGGCCGGGTCTTTCTTGAGCGCCAGGGCATTGATCGGAGATGAGGAGGTGAGATCGAAGTGGAACGGAGAGCCCCCCTACCGGGAAATCGGTTTCGGTTTCGTGTTCGTGCGTCCCGTGCGTGCGGGCGAGGCGAAGCTGCGTGGGCGGGCGAAAAGAAAGTCTCCTCCAGCTGAGGCGCGGCTGGACCAAATGATTCCTCTCCGGGGGCCGTTGGCCCGCGGTGTCCCGCTGGTGTCCCGCCTCTGGCTGAGGCGCGGCCGGACCAAATGATTCCTTTCCGGGGCTGGTGGCCCGCGGTGTCCCGCCGGTGTCCCGCCGGTGTCCCGTCTGTGTCCCGATGATGATGATGATGATGATGATGATGATGATGATGATGATGATGATGATGATGATGATGATGATGATGATGATGATGATGATGATGTCGATGATGTGAATGATGATGATGATGATGATGGTGATGGTGGTGATGATGATGGTGTCCCGATGATGGTGATGATGATGATGATGTTGACGATGCTGATGATGATGATGATGATGATGGTGATGGTGGTGATGATGATGGTGTCCCGATGATGTTGATGATGAGTAGGCTTCTGGTGATGATGTTGGTGTCCCGATGGTGATGATGATGTTGATGATCCTGATGATGTTGGTGATGATGAGATGATGATGAGATGCTGATGGTGATGATGAAGATGATGATGATGATGATGATGATGATGATGATGATGATGCTGTCCCGATGATGGTGATGATGATGCTGTTGATGATTATGGTGATTCTGATGATGGTGTTACGATGATGATGATGTTGATGATGATGATGATGATGATGACGCTGATGGCGTCCCGATGAAGATGATGGTGTTGAGGATGAGGATGATGATGAGGTGGTGATGATGATGATTTTGATGATGGTGGCCCGATGATGGCGATGACGATGATGCTGATGTTGACTATGATGATGGTGTCCAGATGATGATGATGATGATGATGATGATGATGATGATGATGATGATAATGATTGTGATGCTGATGGTGGTTACGATGATGATGTTGTTCCGATGATGATCATGGTGTTGATGCTGATGATGATGATGATGATATTGCTGCTGATGATGATGATGGTGTCCCGATGATGATGGTGTTGATGATGTTGTGCATGATGATGAGATGATGATGATGCTGATGATGATGATGGTGGTGGTGTTCCGATGATGATGGTGATGATGACGATGATGATGATGATGATGATGATTGTGTCCCGATGCTGGTAACGTTGATGATGATGGTGACGATCATGGTGTCCCGATGATGATGATGATGATGGTCATGATGCTGATGTGGTTGATGATGGCAATGAGGTGATGATGGTGTCCCGATGATGGTGATGATGGTGACGATGATGTTGATGACGTCCATGACGATGATGTTGATGATGATGATGGTGATGGTGATGATGATGATGATGATGATGATGATGCTGATGAAGTTGATCGTGATATCGATTGTGATACAGATAGTGAGATCGATAGTGAGACCGAAGGTGAGATCGATTGTGAGATCGCTCATGGGATCTATGGTGAGATCGATTGTGAGATCGATCGTCAGAGATCGATTATGAGATCGATTGGGTGAAACAGATCGAATGAGATCGATTGTGAGATCGATCGAGTGAGATCGATCGAGCGAGACCGATAGTGAGATCGATAGTGAGACCGATCGAGTGAGACGTTGGTTCCTCCCCCCCGAACCTCCTCATCACCCGAAGGGTGGTCGTATAGGTATGTCTATTCGCCTAGTCAGCACCTGAGACTTCCCTGTAACTTCTCCGACCGCTCACCCGCAAGCTACCCCCGCATCTCCTTGCAAGGCCTCCCAAGAAAGGACGATGTGACCGTGGAGGAGGGAGAAGGGAGCAGGAGGAGGAGGGAGGGGGAGGAGGAGAAAGGACCTCGGCTTCGAGGAGCCGTGAAGTCGATGTCTCATGCTCGTCGGAGGCTAGAAGGCAGGCCTTCGGATGCTGGTGGAAGCAAGACGCCTCGCCGGCGGAGGCCAGCGAAACCAACCGTTGACCCCCACATATCGGTGGTTCAACCATGGGGTCATGAGGGATGAGGTCCTACGGATGGGAAGGGATCAGAGGGTTTACATTGTTTGAGGTACCTCGTCCTCCGTCCCCATCCCTTAGGACCCCGTCTTTGAACCGCCGAAGAGTGGCGATGCCCGAAGAAACCACCCAGGGTTTCTGACTGCGGCCGCGTCTGTCAGCTGCCCACTCGCACCCAGACGTCCGATGTCTTGATGTCTTCAATGGGGGGGTCCTGGAGGTCTGGACCACTTCCACCGGAATGGCTCTTCGCACGCCGAAGACGAACACACGCCCCTCTTGATTTTGCTCGCCCCGCCCGGCGGGCCTCCGTGGCTCCAGGAATGGCCCTGCCCGCATGAAGGATGATGATGATGATGATGATGATGATGATGATGATGATGATGATGATGATGATGATGATGATGATGATGATGATGATGATGATGATGATGAGAGGAGGAGGCGGAGGAGGAGGAGGAGGAGGAGGACGGAGGACAGGAGAGGAGGAGGAGAGGAGGAGGAGGAGGAAGGGGAGGAGGGGGAGGAGGGGGAGGAGGAGGAGGAGGAGGAGGAGGAGGAGGAGGAGGAGGAGGAGGAGGAGGAGGGAGGAGGAGGAGGAGGAGGAGGAGGGGGGGGAGCAGGAGGAGAGGAGGAGGAGGAGGGGAGGAGGAGGAGGAGGAGGCGGAGGCGGAGGCGGAGGTTGGAGGAGGAGGAGGGAGGAGGAGGAGGAGGAGGACGAGGAGGAGGCGGAGGCGGAGGCGGAGGGAGGCGGAGGGAGGCGGAGGCGGAGGCGGAGGTGGAGGCGGAGGCGGAGGCGGAGGGAGGAGGAGGAGGGAGGAGGCGGAGGCGGAGGCGGAGGCGGAGGAGGAGGAGGAGGGGGAGGAGGAGGAGGAGTAGGAGGAGGAGGAGGAGGAGGAGGGAGGAGGGGGGAGGGGAGGGGGATGGGGGAGGGGGGGGAGGAGGAGGAGGAGGAGGAGGAGGAGGAGGAGGAGGAGGAGGAGGAGGAGGGGAGGAGGAGGAGGAGGAGGAGGAGAAATAATACGAATCATACTGATAAGAA